ATATATCAAAAAATGAGGAGAGTCTTTTATATCTCTTTAGAGATATATATATATATATATATATATATATATATATATATATATATATATATATATATATATATATATATATATATATATATATATATATATATATATATATATTAGGTTTTATATAAAAAGGGCAATATTAAAAAGTTGGATATAAATAGTTTGAAAAGTATTAAAAAGTTTTTTATTAAAAAATAACATAGTCTTTAAAAAAATTAAAGATTTTGTAAAATTAATGATAAATTCTATTAACTAATGGGAATATAATCCAAAACAAAATAAAATTTAAAATATATTATTGAACATGCTTAAAAATGTTGCAGTTGGTGGTATTTTTAAAAGTATAGTTGATAAATATCTAATATAAAATTATATTTACCATTGAGAAGGGTGATAGATCTTATGAGATATAAAATGCATTTAGTAATTAATTTTTTGATAATAGTAGTTTTAAAAACAAAAAATATAGAAACAATATATTATAATTAACTATATTACAAAATTATATTAGAAATCATATATAGTATTTTCTGTCTTCAAATAAATTTTAATATTAAATAATGTAAGGGAAACTATAATATAAAGTATTATCATATTACATAATGAAACAATAGACAAAAATATATCAGAATACTATTACATAACCATTTCAAATGTTAGACACTGAAACTTCACACAATGAATTAATACATAAAACTAAATCAAGAAATATTTAAAGGACTATTACATAATCATTTCGAATTGTATACAGTAAAACTACATGCATTGTAGTTTAAATAATCCTATTAATTTTCAAGTACTATGTATGAGCATCATAAAAGAGATTCTTTCTGCTATGGCTGATGTCAAATTGTTTGAAATTTTGGGAAACTTCGGGGCCAGCTCAAAATAATTCTTTTGCGAATGCAAAAAAGTCTGAACAGCTACACGCTACCAACTCTTCTTTTTGTTGTAAGGGGATTTTGTCAAGAATCTCAATATGAGCCAAAACAGATTTATGATGCAAGGTAGAATGACACATCCGATTGAGGCATACGACCCAACGAAAAGATTGCATTGCCGTTAAATTGCAGCTCCAGCAGCAGCACTCGATCCATCTTCTTTGAGCTGGTAGCAGAATGAAGTTGAATTTGAATTTCAATCTGTTCTTTCTGATGCTTCCCCTGCTGGGAACCTTTGTGGGCGTTGTAGCCGCAGATTCAATTGGCGACACGCTCGGCGGCAAAGCACTGAAGACGCTCTACACAGGCGACGAGATACGATCACCAAATAGGCGCTACCAGCTGGTAATGCAGACCGATTGCAATCTCGTCTTCTACGGCCCGCAGCGCAAGGTGATCTGGGCAAGCAACACGCAGAACGCCGGAAAGCTCTGCGTCATGAAACTCATTGGTGGCGACACTGCAGCATACGGGAACGCTCTGCAGATCACAGACTATCAGGGGAATAGCATCTGGAGGTACAGTGAAAACAGCAACGGGGATTGCTACCTCAAGGTGGATGACAGGGGCGCCCTGCTCTTCCCCTGTGTCAAGATCCTGAGCAACAAGACAATCACCAATCCTGGCGGGGAGGTGCTCGGATATGACACAATCGGAGGGCCAGAGTGCCGCAAAGGAAAGATAGTCATGTTCACCGGCGACTATATCACATCCAGGAACGGAGCATATCGGCTAGTGATCCAGACCGATTGCAATCTGGTTTTGTATCATCAGCAGACTGGATCTGCAATGTGGGCAAGCCAGACTGCGAGGAGTGGCATGCCGCTGTGCCAGGTGTTTTCGCCAGGACCGATCAATTCTGGTGACCCGCCGATATATGATTGTTTTGGGCACTCGGTTGTCATCCAAAACTACCTCATGGAGAAGGTGTGGAGCATCCAAGGGAACGGCTACTGTGGCATTACTTTGAAGAACAACGGCCACCTCATCTTCAACTGCAAAGCATACGTCCATGACATTGGAGACCCCCGGAACAAGAAATCTGCGATAGCTACTGTGCTTCCATTGAGGGGAACCTCCATGGAGGATTAGCAATGCAATACAGGTCAGGTTGATGAGTCCAGTAGGCTTGAACAGGGATACTTCCGATCATAATCGAAGCTGGTAGAGCACAGAGCCTTCAGCAGACAGCAGCAGCAACACAGGGTTGCTAGGGGCAGTGGTCAAGGATCTGGGGGCCCATGTACTGCCTTCCATGGGCTCCTAGGTCCTTGAGCGCTGCCCCCAGCAACCCTGTGTTGTTGTCTGGGACCTGTCAAGTGATAAGGTATAGTGTGATCACTTATCTGAATACTTGGGAAAGTCAAGAAGTGCTGGTGGAGAAATGATCTCAAGCAATGTTCCGAGGAAAGAGAGTTACTAATGTCTTCAGAAACTTTATGCTTGGCAAGATTGTTAGGCACAAGATCAAGATGATAGGATAAAGAAAAAACTTTACAATCCCGGTTTAAAGTGTAAAAAATAAAATCCCAATAAAGATAGAGCCAATTTTTATATGGGGTCATCAAGGAATAGTGTAGCTGAAATGGATATAGTATAGAGGGGAATCTTAACATCTAAAGTGGCTTTGTTTTAAATTGAAAGAGATAAAATATTTTTAAATCATAAACAGAGGTCATGACTATGGAAAGAAGCATCTGAGCAGCAGGCTCCTTTGAAGACAAGAACTTAGCTTAGATACGAAGAGCTCTTACTTGCTAATGATAGAGCTATTGAAAATTTTACACAAAATAACACATCGTTAGCTATTTGACACAAATAAAAGATTGATTCCAATGTAGGCCTGGAATTACAAATAACCACTGGAGTTTCAAGAGCTTCCGAGGCTAAGGAGAGATAAGTTTGTCCAATGCTGCCCCGCTTTGGGAACAAACGCAGACCATGATCATCTGGCACTTCTTTAAAATTCCTAACCCTAAAAAGCGAAGGCTAGGGCGAAGATGGAGGAGGTCAGTCTCCTGGGTCTCCTTCGCTCCACGCTTCCAGAGGCCGAGTATCACTCCTTCGCCCATCGTTGCGCCCCACCGGAGCGGCCCTTGATCGCGCCGGATCCTCCAGGCGGCTACCAGCCATGGCCGCAGTTTCTCCACCAGGCCGCCGCCCACCTCCACTCCACTCGCGACACCCAGGAGCCCTCCTTTCGCCCTCCTCTTCGATTCCCCGGCCCCATCGCCAGCGAGCAAGGCGTGCGCAGCCTCATCTACATGTACTGGACGATCCCAGTGGAGCAAATGGGTGCTCACATCAAGAGCCTGGGCATCACCTCCGACTCCCTCAGCTTGGCTTCGCACGACTACCTGGACGATCTCATGGGATGGCCCGACTACATCGTCTTCTCCGGATCCGGGGACGAGAAGGCTCAGCGTTGCAGCAAGGTGATCGTCGAGGCCAAGTCGCAGCAGGCCATCCCGGGATCTCCATCCGCCAAGGAGCTCATCGCCTCCACGAACGCACAGATTGTCAACGCCTTGAGGCAGATGTATGCCTACCTCTTCATCGCTAGCGTGTATGGCATTGGGTCCGGCTATGGCGTCCTCACCACCTTCAGTAGCACCTGGTTTTGTAAGCTGGCGGGCGATGCCATGCTCGTCTCGGATCCAGTCCGTTCCGTGGACGCCATGCCCAGCTTCTATGCGTGCTTGTGGTACTTGCTGAGCTACCTTGTCTATCGGGAGCCAGTTTCCGAGCCTCCGCAAGAGTGCCCGAGCTGCCAGGAATTCAAGCCTGAGTTGCTGCTGTCTGGGGTGCCTCTGGGGGATTCCATTGCCGGGAGGTCTAGCATCTTCTCCTATGGTGATTTTGAAGAGCTGGGTGTGTGTGTGCAAGTCGGAGAGCATTTCACTGCATCTCAAGCAACGTTCAGGGGCCAAGGAGTTACTATCAAGTATTTGGATCTGTCTCAAAAACCTTGCTACCTTGAGTTGTTTGCTCGAGAGATCCATGCTTTCAATGGGTTACTGCAGGGCTTGCAAGGGGGATGTGTGCCAGAGCTTATAGATTATGGGTTTTATCATGCGGGTATGATATTTATGCTTGTTTTTAAAGGTAGGATGGAGCCAATCTTATGGGATCATCAAGGAGAAGTTAGTGCAGCTGAAATGGCATTAGAAACATTTCATTCTAAAGGGCTTGTGCATGGGAATCTTAGTACTACCAGTTTTTATGTTGATTTTGGTGAGGAGGAAGATGGTTTGGTTAAAGTGAGACTTACTAATTTGGAAGGTGTTCATGTTTCAACTACTGATTGTGAGATTAACCTTGAAGATGAAGAGTTTGGAAAAATACTTATGGAAAATTAACATGTTATTGTAAATGATATTTGATAAGACATTTTCACGAATATACTTTGATTTGTGTAAGAATCATAACAATATATTGTGCTCATTGTAAATTTGACAATAATTTCTTCCAAATAGTCTATAAAATTATAGGAATATGCTAGATATAAAGGTGGAAATTAAAAGATGTTTAATAAAAATATCTTTACCCAAAACTAGCAAAGATAAGAGTTTACAAAAAAATATTTTTTACAAATATATTTCTAAAAAATATTCAGAAGGCTAATTAAATAAAAATATATATAAATAATTTGCTGCACTTGTAACAACACTTGGTTTGCTTTATTTTGAAGCAATAGCATACATACATGAGATTTCCAAGCAATAGCACATTGTAGACTAGATATTTCTTAACTTAAAGTGATTTTTATCTCCATGATAGAGCCTAGTTTTGAGATGAGAACATTCTTTTACACACAAAGATATCAAAGAGGTATGAAATTATTTTGCTCTAATAATTTTTCAATTTTTATTTTGTATCATACTTTCCAAATGTTGCTCAAATGTAAGCTCATGGGAAGAAGAAACAGAATTTTGAAATCTTCTTCTAAAGCATGTAAATTTGTCACAGGCTCCCTTTGGAAATCATCTTGTGTTCATTTTTTTTTTTTCATCACTCAAAGCTTTTGAACTAGCCAGAATTTCAAGCTAAGATCCACCACAGCATTTTGCATGGTGCTCGCACTTGTAATGACTGCCCTTCACAATCACTCTCACCAGAACGATCGTCCATGCTCTCTTCCAGTGCTATGCATTTGATAATTTTGCCACTCAAGATGTATTATCACTCGTCAAAGTTCTCCATTTTAATCAACAGTTTTCATCTTTTTTCTTCCTTTAATTACTCTTATATATCGCGCATCACGGCGACCTGACGGTAGTGGATGTCATCCGCTTCGGGTCCACAGCGAACTCCTGTATCAAGCTCTCCCTATATACTTGAAAGCGCCGATAAACCATTGTGCCGGAACGATGGTCACCAACCTATCGCAGAACTTTGAGCAGCAGACGAAGCTTTACTACCCAGCTCGCGGATGCGATCATGGAGAAGTTTCTTGCGGATTTCAGAGATCTCTGAAGAGTACTACCTGTCCGAGGACCATACTTGCCAAATCCTCTCTCTTTAGCCTCCAACTTAGGGTTTTTAGAGCAGCGCTTCTGGGTAGATAGTCGCGATGGCGCTTCAAGGGTGATGGATGCTTCTGTGATGCTGTGATGCTGACCCTGCATGAGCTCTTTCAAACAAGAGTTCCAAGGGTTGTGTACAGGCCCGGAAGAGATCTCCCCACAGACAGGGTCACAGATTCAGTCTACAAGCGAGATCCGGCTTCTGGATATCATGTATGGGACTCATTCCTAGACGAGGCAAGGGCATTTTGTGCCAATTCGGTGGATTCTCTCCCGGTGTTTGACCACCCTTTCCCTGTGGGACTCGGAGAGATCTCCTGTGAAGAAGGTGTGCGACACAACATCTATGCGTTCTTCACACGGACCCTGGTGGAGATGAACAGGGAGAGGCGCCGACGCGATCCAACAACGCCCGTGATCTTGTTTGCTGATGGATCGGCCGCAGTCATGATCGGGCATCCGGATTTCCTTCACATAGGGGCCGGAGATGAATTCTTCGCGTGCACCGAAGCGAAGAAGGAGGGTGCTTTGCCAAGCACTCTACGTGGTCAAGAATTCGCTCGGCTTGCTCAACAGGAGCCACGACAGCATCGAAAGATGCTAAACCAAGTAAACGGTTATCTATGGCATAATCGCACCATGCATTGTGGGTATGGTGCGATCACCAACTGTAACGCTTGGTGGTTTATAAAAGTGACTCCAACCAGTGCCCTCTATGTTTCGGATCCTGTTACGTGTGATGCTGTGCCTGGAGCAAATAACATCAGCTTGCACCAAGCTTTGTGGTTTTACCACGAACTCATGTGCCAGAACACTCTCCCTCAAGATCCTCCTCCTCCAAGTGACAGTGGTGGAAGCAGTGGAGGTGAATCCTCTAGGGGCAAGAGAAGATGGGATCCTCCTGTTTACTCTATTATCCCACGACAAAAAAGCATGCGCATTGGAGGATCTAGTGCTGGGGGAAGTGCTAGAGTGGCTAATAGGTTTTTGATGAAGAAGCTATATAGCTTATGTGAAGCTCTAGGAATATCTTCAAATCTTGTGAAGGGGTATTTCCAAATACTTGAAGCTCATGAGCATGAGGTGCTACAGTTGATTGAAGCTGAAAGGGAGCAACATGTTTTCAGAGGGAAACTCAAGGGAGATGACGTTGTTATCAAATGGTCTGATACCACAAAGTTTGAGGAAAGAGTTACTAAGTACCTTCGTGAGCTACATGCATATGCATTACTTCGAGATTTGCAAGGGATATGCATTCCACGATTATGGGGAGCTGGATTTATAGCTGAAGGTTTAAACTTCTTTCTAGCTATGCAAGACAGTGGTGGGATCTCGATTGATAGGGAACCACATCTTCAAACCCAAGAAAAGTTTGAGGGGGCTTTGGTACGTCTGGATGCTATTCACGCGAGAGGTTTCATTCATGGAAAGATTCAGCCTGCAAGCATATTAGTAACACGTGATGACGAGATTCGGTGGATTGCACTCTCTGAATCTAGACCAGGAAGTGCGCAAGAAATGGTCGAGGAGAGGGCTCAAATGCAACGGTTGATTCCAAGATCATAGACAAATTTTTCTTTTCTTGTATTAAAACTGTTCATTCACCATCTTTTTTTTGTACTCCAGTTAAAATTGTTCCTTTCACCATCTTTTCTTTGTATTCCAGTATCTTTGAAAAAATCTCAACCTGCAAGCACGCAGGCAATCAATCGTAACGCCTTGACTTCTCTGTCCCATAGTCGTACTAATGTCTGATCTTTCCTTGTTGGTGTCTCTTGAATCACGATTCATAGAGTTACTGGGTAGCTCTGATTCACATAGTGTTCATAGAGGATCATTACTTGTTCCCAAACGCATACCGCACGCTCATCCTCAGCGTCGTCTTTCGTAACACACAAGTTTATCTCCTGAATGGGAAACACGGACGTCAAAGATAAGAAAGAACGCTCCCTGGCAAATTATTGTGTCAAAAAAGAGTATAAAATCAGGAAGACACGTCATATTATACAACACA